TAATTTATTCATCATGCAAAAATAAAGACAAATTGCATCTTTCCACGTTGCAGCTAATTTCAACACGTTTTTGAGGTTCGTGTCTCTATTTTTAAAACGTTTTTGTTTTAGTTTTATGGTGTGATATGACCTTATCGGAATTGATCTCCTAATGCCACAACAACATGGAAAAGAAAAACATTTAGCTAGGTTTTGTAACCCAGTGACAAAACTTACAGTACATCCTTCTTCATTTTATTTTGTGCATGTAAAAATGTAACGTTCACACGTGATATCATAATTATAACGTTCATACGTGAATATCACGTGATACGTTATATTCTTTCTTAGTTTGAAAAATTGATCAAGTTTTTTACACGTGACATTCTATCGGTCGTTTTCTTTAAGAGTTTGTGTATTTGTCTATGCTAAATGCAATATTAATGGTCCTTTTTTTGCAAATCTTTTGTAACTAAATAGAATGCAATTAAATTTTGAAGATTAAATTTTTAAATTAAAAATGAAATAATAATGCGCTATTACATAAAGCTTTTGATATTAGCCGAGCTAAACTAACTCCAGTAAATATAAAATCAAGCCAAGCTCAAAATCCAGGTTCAATCAAATCGAACCAAATAAACTCTTTCTTGTTTTACCTTTTTTTAAGCCACAACAAATTTTAGTTCTATATGCCAAAATAATAATAGTGCAGGGGTTACATCGCTTGCCTCAGAAACTAGAGATCCGTGGTTCAACCCTACCTCTGGGCAAGTTTTATGACATCGGTAAGGAAGGAATGAACTTCCTTTTAAATGCTCTTTTGCGGTGCTCTGTTATAAGACCGTTAAGACTTTTTGGAACACCTAAAAAACCTAAAAAATGAAAATGTATGGTAGTTTTATTAATTAAAATATTTTATGTATACAAAATTTCAAGTATACTTGATTTTTGTTGTTTCTGCGCACCATGATATATTTGCAAAAAAACTTTTAAACAAAGACAAATTTAAAATTTTATTTAAAAAAGCGAGAAATTTCGATTTTAACTTAATTTTAAAATTTTATATTGCATTTTTGATGGATTAATTAAGAGAGAGAAAAGCTAGAAAAGGTAGAACCGGTACCTTTTCTCTGTTAACAGGAGTTGTCACAAATTGAGTTCAGCTTAAATGGTTCCTAAAAAGATGGTGATTTTCTATTTGCTGACCGTGAGAAACTCCTCAACCTAAATACTGTTCTTTTTCCAAAATATGTTTTAAAGAAAACAGCTGATACAGCTGTTGGAAAATGAATAAGTCATAGGCAGTATGCTTCCAGAGTTAAAAGTATAATTGCCAAAGCCACCAAGATTAGTTTCAATGGTCACAGAATATTCGTGGCCTAGAATATTGCAACATTTCTACGTAAAGTTTTAGGTGGCTGTTTTTTATCTATCTGTTGTTAAAGACAAAGTGTAACAAAACTTTATAAAAGCTATGTGCATAATTTTCATCAGTTCTCTATGAAATTAGGATTGCTAAACAGGAAATCGAAGTCAGCTTTTGTGTACTGTCAACCATTTATCTAAAAACATCATTTACAAAAATGATTAACATTATAATAGTCTTAAGTAACTAAAGCTTGTAACAACATCACATCAGTTGTGGTAACTATTCACTCACTAAATAAAATGGTTCCATTAAAATTCTGAAAAACGAAGATCTTAGTGTGACCTCCTCTTATGATGACTTAAATCACTGCAACCCAAACCCCAAACTTATTTGCCCATCATAGCTTCATCCCATACATGACTTTAATATCTTTGTGGAACCTCTCGCTACGCTCTTTAGATACTGCTGCTAAACTTGGTCTGAAAATTCATATGAGAGTGCAAAAATTGCAGCTTGATTGACAATTGATATCCAAGAGCGTGATATTTGTCACCAAATTCTGCATTAGTTCTTTATAGTCTTTACTTCTGTTATTTCTTAGGAATCCATTAATTATTTGTCTAAATGCCTGCCATAGATTTTTTTCTAAACTAGACAATACAGTTTCCAAGTCAAAATTTTAACGTTGTTCTGATATACCTTTATATGTGTTGAGTGAGCCACATGGAAGGATATGGTTCCCGTTATGTAAAAAAACCAAATCATCTAATTTGCATTGTTTAGATAAAACCATTTTTCTGATTCATCTGTAGAACTATCTTTATCTATGAGATTTGATGATGAAGTTGATGGAACGGGAGCTGGCAGCTGTTCATCATGTAGAACTAGTGCAAGTGGTAACGAATCATAAAGATATTTTATCCTTGATCTATTTGTAATTTTTTAATATCTCGATAAATTAACTATACAAAAGTAACAGTCTGTCGTGTGGAAATGGTTTTTTGATCTTATCGTAGCCAGCCCAGAAAATATTTTATCTATTTTCGCAAATTGTTTCCAGTTTTATAAATAAGATAAAAACTATTTATTTTTCTACGTTAATGTTTTATTTTTATTCTATAATATTTTCAGTAAGATTAAATAGTTTAGTGTATTGAACTATTTGATGATGTTTTGGCTGTACCAACATCATCAAATAGTTCAATAAGAAATCTTATGTATTTTGTGGCAAAAAACCGGCAATCTTTTTCTTACCAATATAAACTTTTGTTTATTTTGTATATTTTTTTCTGTTTAACAATTTAGTTTGAGGTAAAATCCAAATTGTAAAAACCAAAACCTTCAGTCAATGTAGCGGCACTCGTTGCATGTTCTCCCTATTTGTCAGTCGATGTATGTACACGCCTTGCATGTTCTACCTATTTGTCAGCCAATGTTTGTACACTGTTTGCATGTTCTACTTATTTATCAGTCGATGTATGTACACTCCTTGTATGTTCTACTTATTTGTCAGCCTATTTATGAAAAATGAAGGATTATGATTCTGTTTGTATTATAATATTTATGTATAAAATATTTATATTATAAACAACTATTATATTGATATATTGTTTGTTTTATGCGCTTTAAAAAAATACGGGGGATTTCTCAGGGGGATTTTTCCGGGGGAATTTTTCCTGCTACCCAAATTTAGATTTAGGCGAAAAAAAATCACATGATAACCACACCAAATTATTACATTATTCAACAATGTTTTTTTTTAATGAGTATTAGCATTCTTCATTATTCTGGAAAATCATTTTTATCAACAAAAAAATATTAAAATATTTTTAATACTTACTAACTTTAATTTTTTAATATTTGTAACAAAAATTTTTTTAAGATTTGTTATGAACTTATTTTATATATATATATATATATATATATATATATATATATATATATATATATATATATATATATATATATATATATATATATATATATATATATATATATATATATATATATATATATATATATATATATATATATATATATATATATATCATATACAAATATATACTTTTTATTTATAAAGGAACAATGATGAAATCGCCGCAATTTTTTTTTGAAAACCTAGTTTATATTTTTATATCTTGTAAAAATCTTTTATTGTCTTATTTTATTGTATAACAAATACCGTAGTAAACTTTATTAGAAACAACATTAGGAGACCTAATAACGAAAAATGAGTCCTAATTTAGAAAATTTAAATTTATTAAATAAGCTTGACGTCTAAATTTAAATTTTCTTCCAGTATATATGCGCATCTTTTGCTCATTTTCGAAACAGCAAAGAAACACGACACTCCGAATGCAAAATGTTCAAATATATCCTATTGTTTAACTGTTTTAACGGAATAAGCCTATTTGAGGGCTATCAAAAGTTTTTGGAAACCCCAGTTCTAATTGGCCTTAGAAATTTAATTTTAGAGATGCACTCTAAACGTCTGAATATAATAACGAGAGTTCAGTTGTCATTCAGAAAATGTATAAACAAAAAATCCACAAATTAAGTTATGAAGGTTTTCTATAATTGAAAAAGAATCTCTCTACATTCAGTGCCGGCTCGAGCAAGCGCGAGGCCCGACGCGAGTTTAGTTTGCAAGGCCTTCAATGAAAACCTTAAAAAAGGAGGGAGTGAAGAGTATTAATGTACGAGGGTAAAATCGTGTTTTTATATATAATCGTCTTTTAAATATAAAATATATAAACATATATAAAGAAAATACAATATATAATATATAATTACTCCATAGTGTCACTAGTTATTATTTTGAAACAAAAATACATGTTGTAATATTTTTTTGACAAAAATCATATATTATGCACATTATTATTTTTATTTTGATTATTAAATCTTCTATAGAAAACTTTAAAAAAAAATAGGACCCCTCTAATTCTAATCTTCCCTCTAATAGGACCCCGGAGTGCCTTTTTAGAAAGCTAGAGATAGATGTATACCTCTTTATCTAGCTTTCCATAGAGCAATGCGAGGCCCCACACGGTCTGAGCCGACCCTTTCTACATCTATAAACCTTTTTTTTTATTGTTATTTAGGTGCCCCAAGAAGACCTAACTGTCTTGGGGCACCTAAATAACAATAAAAAAACGCACACACAAAAAAGATTTTAATAATTTTTCTTATTTTCATGAAGACACAAAATAAAAATAAAATCCTTTTTTTCTGAAACGAAAAATGATATTATTTTTCGAGATTTCAACGTTTGCTGAATCAGGAGTTTTTGTTCCAATATTCACTGTAGAATCAACTTGTACAAATTTAGAGTAAATGTTTATTTGTTAGTATTGATTTGATGAGTTTTTTGATTAAATTAGATAAAAATCATATATAATTTTTTTTAAATCTGTTCACACGTTGTCGTTGATTTTTTTTCTTTTTTTTTTTCTTTTTTTGCGGGATGTCAAACTTTAATACTTTTCACACTCTTACCACGCGTTTCATGTAAAAGCGTTTGCGTCGCTTTAATCTTACGTATATTTTCGTTTTCATCATTTTTTGACAAAATTAAAGAACGGTAACAACTGTTTATTAGCCGACAGCATAAGCTAAATATTCTTGTGATAGTGAAAAAAATTAACTCCAATAATAAAATAGAAAACATCTATCATTTCTTGTAATGTAAACTAACCAACCTATTTAAAAGCAAACAGATACAAATATATCCGTGTTTTTAGTTTGTTTGATTTTTCGATGTTGTTATAAAATGTGACATATTTTTAAAATACTTTTGTTTTTCCAACACTAGATCACGTGGATTTTTACCATTATCAATCATTGATCTTAAAAGTAAAAATTGGTTGCATTCTGGATCGTTTGCGGGATGTGAAACTTTAATATTTTTCACATACTCGCACCACGTGTTCCACATGTAAAAGCCAGACGTATGAGTTGCATTAATTCCTGAAAATAGAAAAAACATTCAACTATTTTTTTTAAGTTTTCAAAAATGTTTCAAAACTGTTTCCAGATTTAAAAAAGGGTGTTCCGATTGACTGGTTTCGTATTATTTTTATAAATAATAATTATCATACTTCGAATTCGTAATAAATTACGAGTTCGAAGTATGATATTTTAAAATATATTACATAAATTAAAACATAGATTAAAAAAAGATAATGACGTAATAACCTACCTTGCCTTCTTCCATTTTACACGATGGAAGTAGGCATTAGATCATCCACCTTATATAAGGGCTCTTTCTCTTTTTTATTGGTTTTTCTTGATTTACACATTCACAAGAAACAGAAATAAAACTAACTACTGTTTATTTTCTTTAGATGGTCGAGATTAAAATATGACAATATTAATTATAATAATGTTATTTTAGATGGTCAAATCATAATAATAAATCATAATGAACTTTTTTTATATACCAAAAATTCGCCCTAATGCTATTACTAATGCTATTACCTAATGCTATTGATTTTTAACTAGTTTTTTAACTTCTAACAAATCCTACGGATTTGTTAGGAAAATTTTATTTGTTAATAATAACAAAATTTGTTAATGATAACAAATCCTTCGGATTTGTAAGAAGTTCTAAGAAATAAAATTTTAATTTCTAACAGAAGTTTTAATTCTACTTATCAACTCCCAAGGGTAAAAAATAGGTTTACAAAAAAATTCAAAAGTTGTACATTTTATTAATCATTATGAAAAACAAAGAAAAAATTACCATTATGCACAGTTAAAAAACAAAAAATATCAATAAGAAAGAGCCTTTCGAAACATTAGTAAAGAGATAATTTTAACTAAACGTTGCGTAAAATAAAGTTAAAAAAACAAAGAAACATTGGATCAAAATATTGAGAAACATAAGCAAAGGAAACAGGGATTTGAATGTTTCTAGAATAAAAAAAAGAGCAAAATAAAACGCTTATAATATATTATAGCCATCATATAAAACACATTTTGACAAGCATCTAACTATAATAGTTAAATGCTTGTCAAAATGTGTTTTATATGATGGCCATAATATATTATAAGCGTTTTATTTTGCTCTTTTTTTTATTCTAGAAACATTCAAATCCCTGTTTCCTTTTTTCATATTCAGTTTTATATATTTTTTACCATTTTTACCATACTTATTTTTGTATTTTGTACTTAATTATTGATTACTTACCATTTTCAAACGACATTTTTCTCATTATAATAGTTACTATTATAATGAGAAAAATGTCGTTTGAAAATGGTAAGTAATCAATAATTAAGTACAAAATACAAAAATAAGTATGGTAAAAATGGTAAAAAATATATAAAACTGAATATGAAAAAAGTCAAAATAAAAATAAAAATAAATTGTTTGAAATTTATGATGCAACAAATGTTTGTCAACAGTGTTTTTTAAAAATACAAAACTGTGGTGAAGAATTTTTTTGGTAAATACTTGAGTTTGAAAATTACTTTGCTACCGTAATAATTCGGGAACCATAATTCGTTTAAAAATAATTTTACCTCTATCTTGTAGAAAATTTAATTTTAATACCAATTACATAATTTATTTTCGTTTTATAGTTAAAAATTATACAAAAATGTAAGAAAAATTAATATTAAATTTATTCTGGTAAAACCGATCATTCACATATTTACTTTAAATTCCTTTATTAAGTAGTATGTGAATTTTAAAATTAAATTATTGAATTTCCTCATGCGTTAGTTCTCGGTTCTTTCTATATAAAGTTATTTTACAAAAATGACTTAATGATATTTATTAATTATTCACTTTCAAGATGACAACAAGAAAAAAGTTATACAATCAAGAAGATATAGAAGCTGCGTTAAATGATATGAAAAAAATACTTCAATCAGAAAAGCTGCATTCAAATATGGCATTCCATTCTCAACTCTAATAAGTTGCAAGAACAATAACAATGCTAGCTTCAAGGAATCAGGATCAACAGCCGTACTCTCACAGCAAACAGAGTCAATTATGGTACATGCGTTTAAGTTCCTATGTGATTGGGGTTATGGTTTAACACGAAATGATGTCATGGACTTCGTATGCGGTTACCTTCTTCGTATAAATCAATCAGGCCTATTTAAAAACTGCAGGCCTGGCAAAGACTGGTTTTATGCATTTATAAACCGATGGTCTAAAGAAATTTCCACAAGAAAAACTTACACTTTAGCATCTGCCAGAGCCGCTTCTTGTACGCAAGAAATAACACAGGCTAACAAAAAATATTTTTTTTCTGGTGTCGAGCAAACAATTAGTTTTTTTTGTATTTTATATTTTAGTATTTATCATTTTGATTTCAAGTATGCAACTTATTTTTTACCATCACGTCAAGTTGTAAAGATATTTTGGTTTAAATCTTTAGTATTCGGGCTAAATTTCTTAATATTATCGAAAAAAAAGTTATTCAAAAGTATGTCAACCTGGGTCTCAAAAGAAGCGTATTTTCATAGAGATTTCAAAAATATTGTTTGCTTGTAATAAAAATAAGTTCTTTTGTATTAATGCCTAAAAAAATTTTTTTTTTAGGAGTCTTTAGCAATTTTTCTCATAATTTTTTTGTCAATGAGTTTTAAGAAAAAGTATTTATGCTTTCCAAAATCTCTATGAAAATACGCTTCTTTTGAGACCCAGGTTGACAGCAAAACGAAACGTTAAGGCTGAATGGGCTTTAGGTGGTCCGACTGGTACCAAATATTCAATTTCTAAATCTGGTTGGATGGAGCATGACACATTAATTGAAAGGTTGAACGAAGTGTATATACCAGAATGTCAAGCTATTAGTGGTACTCATATTTTACATCTTAATGAACATACGTCTCACGTCAGTTTAGCAGCTGTATTGCTATGTCGGGAAAACAATTTAATTTTGATTTGTCTACCAGCCCACTCATTTCACATTCTTCAGCCACTGGGCAGAGGTGTCTATTGCCATGTTAAGCAAGTGTAAAATGCAGTTTTTACCAAATTTTACAAAGACACAAAATGCAAAAACTTAGATAAAGACTTTTTTTCTACGTTGCTCAAACAGGTGTATGAGAGTGGTAAGTGTTTTACACGTTTGTACGCTATTGCTGGTTTTGAATATACTGGGTTATTTCCACTTAACAAAAATAAAATCAATCAACAGGCATTAGCTATCTCCAAAAGGTTTAATCAACCGACGTTTTCAACGCCATTGCAAACAACAATATCTTTATTATCTTCTGAATCAGCAACAGCAGCTTCGAGGTTTGACAAGTACGGAGCACTACATGAGAGAATGAAAATCGAAATGGAAAATATTACAGAACACGGTGTTACAGATCATCTCAAAAAAAAAGAGAAGAAGTTAAGCAACTGAAATTAGCTGAAAAACAAGCTAAAAAGCGAAACCATCTGCAAACTTATAATGCCATTGCCAAACCCTGCAGAAAAAGAAATAACTTAAAATATAGAGCCGATTACAACACCCTCAGCTAAGTTATTAAATGCAGTAAGTGTAAAAAAGAATTACATTCGGACATCCCAGTGGGCACACGACGTTATTTCGACGTTGATTTACAGTTGATTTTTAGTCGCGACGTCGTATAACCAAAAATCAACGTTGTATCAACGTTGTTTAAAACTATCAAATTAAATCAACGTTGATTCCACGTTAATTCAACGTCTATATTACGAGTTCGACCGTTCGTAATTGCAATATGAGAACTAAAATATGCATGCTTGACTTATAAATTTTTTTTTATTAGCATAACAAATAACAAGTAAAAGCTTAACAAGTTATTTATTAGCCCAATAAAAGCAAGTAAAGTCACACATGCTAATAATTAGGCCGTCTGTTGCCTTTTTATAAGGTTTTGAATTTGACAATTTAACAATAATACATGGCTTAACTTGTGATGCAGTTAGTTAGGTAAATAATAAATGGATATTTCTTTATGACCGTATTATTTCATAAGTGTGGATTATAAGTAGAAATTACTTGATTTATTTTTACAGTTTTTTAAGTCAGTTTTTTTTAGAGTTTGATTTAGTTGTTTTATTATGTATGTTAGTATATTTGACAATACTAGTTTGTATATAAATGCCCAAACCAAACCCTCAGTCGATGTGTTGAATTTGTGTATGAAGATGGATGATGTTTTACAAAATATTGATTTATCAAGCTTTTTTAACAATCCATGTGATTTGAATATTTTTCAAATTAAAAAATTTTTATAAAATTTTTAAAGATTTTTCTTGTAAAGTTGAATAAAAAAGAATTTGTGCTTGCTCCTTTAGTCCATGATACTGTTTGGTAGAAGGATCAACATAAAAATTTAGCAAATTTTAGCAACTGTATAATGTATCATAATGTACAGTTTAAAGTTGTATTTTTCTGTTAGCTATTTTACATGAACAAATTTTTAATACATAAGTATTTTTTTCTATTATATTTTCTACTATACTTTTCCAGTTGAAAAAGTATAGTAGGGTAAGCAAAATGTACATTCGAGCTGTTTGGATAAAAAATACAGAGAACTAGAGAGAGAAAATTCGATTTATAATTTTTTGTGCTGGTCATCATTATTAAATGTAACAAATTGTTTCAACAAAATCCATAAACCACAGTCTAACTAATACAGATTTAAGCTGCTCAAAATTAAATGTCATGGAGATAATGTAATTTTTTTAAATATAAACATTAAGTCATTACTTTTTTTCCTTATTTTTTTAACATGCTTTCATTCTGTATATGTTGTTTTCAGTGTTTAGATATATTCTTTATCTATGGGGTTAAGATCATGCGAGTTGTCTAGCCATAGCAAAACATCAACTAAGCCATAACAGTTTTTATTGTGTGGCAAGTTGCACCATCTTGCATAAATATAAGATTTTTGACATTATTTTTAATATTTTTAAATTTTTTTTGTCAATTTTTGACTTTTTTGGCTGAACATCAATCCCTCTACGGATTTTATTTCCAATTCAACCAAATTTCAACGTTGTTTCAACGTGGCATATGGTCGGTTTGCGACGTTGTTTCAACGTTATTTCAACGTCATTGTGCCTGCTGGGTACATTTACATATATAAAATGTTAACTTAAATTTAATAAATGTATTTTATATTGATCGGTTTTAATAGACTTTCTGTCAAAAGCGATCTTTTTTTTTTCTTCTAGTTTTCATATTTTCGAATACAATAAAAAAATTAATAAATAATGTGCTTGTTGGTATTTTCTATCTTATTTAAAAAAAATAGTTTAGAAATTTTTAAAAATAATAAAGTTAATTGTTCGGTGATCGTTTTGACCCGCTTTTACTCTACCCAATCTTTGAAATAACAAAGTGCTACTAAATTTTAATCTTTCTATTTTTTTGTTACGTATTATGTTCAAAAACACTTTACCATATTACGTTGAAAAAACCTTGTGTCAATATTGTGTTAAAAAACGCGTTCATTATAACAAATCAAAAAAAAAAAAAATTTAAGGGAGATGAAAGAGTCAGGCTTTAAAAGAGCCGACGTAAATGTTTCTAACATTTGACCTTAGTTGTAATTATACTCATTGTATGTCAATACAAGATACATGTCACCCACATAAAAATTTACATTTCTACTAAAATAAAAATACAATTATGATCAAATGCCGGTAAGTTAGAATGGACCAAATCAGTTTTTTCAAAGCTAGACCTTTTTATAGATAATCTCTCCTATATTATAATTAAGTATGATTACTTTTTCAGGTTCCAATGATAAGATTAATTTGATTGTTGGAAGCCTAGTTTATATTGTTTGCATAAAAACTGTTAATATTTTTTTTATCTTATTTTATTATATCTATGACGACTAGCATTGTATAATTAAAAAAAAATTTTTTTTTAGAACTTTGCAAAATAAATATTAAAATTAAGTTTTAAAAAGTTTTTAAAATCTTTACCTGCATCGAATGCTACTTCTCCAATATAAGCGTCATCGATTTTTAAGTTTTTTTCTAGATCGAAATATGGCACAATTTTGTAAACAGTAGAGTTTGTTAAAATATACCCTCCTCCGGAGCAATATGGAGCAAAATAATCGTTTTTGTGCTCTTCTTTTGTTAATTTATACCTACCTTTTCGTTCAACGGGTTGATGATACATTAAGTTTCCAAAATAGCCATCAGTTTTTTTGTTTTGATTAATAAAATCTATAATATTATCTATGTTCATAAATGTATCATCGTCGCCTTTAAGAACAGATTTAAATTTAATGTTATGTTTTGCCCATGTTAGCCCGACAATAACCTTTTTTGCTAACAGGTAAAAGTTTTCCGGTATATCCAACAAAACAATATCTTTTGATATTTTGGCTTCTTCAGCTATTTCTATCATTGAGCTTGCTGTATTTACTTTACCTGTCAAAAAAACAATTTTATATTTATCTGCGGTTGCCCACATACTTGAATTTCCCCATGTTTCTCTGATTTTAATTCTTCTATTTCTATGGGTAATAAATGATGAAATTAAAATAAGAACTGTATAAACAGTATTTTCTTTTTCAACGGTATCAAAAGTTATATGAGAAATAGCTTCCGCTTCCTTAAAAAGACTATCTCTTGGTGTTTCAGTTACTTGGACCAGGTCATTTTTTTTCGTATTCATCTGGTTATCAAAAGTATCCATTATTCGATCTGGATACTGAGTTTGATAAAGTATCATTCCAAATATAACAAATATTACAACCAAGCCAACAATCCTTCGTGCGCTAATTCTCAACGTAAAAAAACTATTTTTCATTTTTTATCTGTTATTTAACCCGTTATTATAAAAAAAAAAACTAAAATACTTTTTTGGTATTTCTTTTTTGTTGTTCTATTTTGTACTAATCTTTAGTTCTTTCATTTT